TGAGGTCAAAAGTTCTGAAAAGCACACAGATGTCTTTAACAGCCCTGGACTTAAAAAATACATAACAGATAGCAACAGCTTGTCTAATCAAGAAAAATCTGACCTGATATTCTTCTTTCAGTGCATTTAATTCACTTTCCATCCTAACATTCGTTTGGCTTATTCGCTGGAGCAGCTCCTGCACACACTGGAGAGAGCTGAGAATTTCCTTAGGAATGCAAACAGAAGAGGGTATATTGAGTGAGATTTTGTTTCTGCACTTTAAACATTAGATCATTTATGCCTTTTAGATTATTATATTTATTTGCATTCTGTCAGTGTTTACAAAGTGATGGATGTAAAGAAACATACTCCAGCATCACCACTGGAGAGGGGCTTGTAGGGAGAAATCAGAACATCAGTTTTTTCTGCCTTTTTTGCTCTTGGAGAAAACATGAAGCTCATCTCTGTATTACAGCCCTCCCCAGACTCATGCCAAGCCCTTCCATATGTTACAACTAACATAGTAAGCAAACCTTTGCAATTCACACAGAACAAAACAGACACAAACCAGAGTCCTTCTCTTAGATAACACATATCAAATATGCATATGAATTATGCTCCACCCATCCCCATGGAAATGCTTTCAGTGTGCTCAGGGCTGGGAGAGTAATGAGGCCTGAATATGCCTCCTGTTTTTCCCTGTGTTTATTGGCAAGTATTTTTTAAAAGCAAGCTCAAAACACAGAGAGGCTTTCCTGGAGTGGCAGAGCACTGCTGGCTGAGCCTCCACTGAGTGCTCCATGGCCATACAAGCAAACTCCTGTGTTTGTCCTTCCCTGGGAACAGGAATGATCCACTTCTTTGGCACGTTCCATCTAATGAACTGCAGAGTGACAGTTTTGCAACTGTTCAAGAAATAACAACCCTTTTAGGCTTAGCATTCTGCAAAGCAGCAAAGCAGAATGATATGCTGCACTTACAGGGAACAACACCTTTTATTGCTGACACTTGACTCCATAAACCTTGGTTTGACTAGCAGGATTTGCTCTGGCACCTACCTGAGTTTGCAATAGAAACCAGCCTGAACTCTCTTCAGCTATCTAAAAGTGTTGCTTAATAGTCTCAGTGTTCATGCTCTGTATGAGTGGAACATCATTTTCCTTGTACACAACGGACACGTTATCCCAATGTTACCTGGGTTCAGTACCAGCAGCATTAGAGCAAACTGTTTGCAGCCAGAACAGCATGTGATGCTTATTTGTACTGACATCAGGCAACTGTGTCATGGATTGACCAAATTTCTCCCATCTGAATTCAAAAACAGCGTTTAAGTCTCAGAATAAAGTGTCAAACAATAGACTTCATTCTGTTAATACTCTTTAGAAAGAATGAGCTGTAAGATCCCACTTAAGCTCATATTAGAACATTTCTGATGAGTAAACAAGTGAATTCAACTAGTTTTTATAGCTTAGTATAATAATTCAAGCAACTTAAATATGAAATATAGCACATAAAATGATCTTTAAAGTGCAAAGCTGCAGTAACAGCTCACCAGCTGTTCCTCTTTGATGTGAGCGTTTTCCTCTTGGATTCTTTTACTCACTGCTGTCTCCTTAAAAAACCAAACAACTCACATGAAGAACAGTAAAAGGCATTTAAAATTACACTCTATTTTCTTTAGTCATACTGCATTAATCAGTGAATCATCACGAGGCTATTTAAAGAAATTGAAATGTGTTCTTATCCCTTTTTTAACTTCATTTTACTATGGAATAATAGTGATATTGATAGCACATTTACTTCCCTAGGAAGGTTTATGCTGCCAAGAGTGTCTTTACATGGGATATGCAGTTAGTAGAAAGGAATCACTAGTCTGTACACAGCAGAGATCATCACCAGGATGTTTGCTGAACGAAGAACAGAAAAAATTCCCCCCAAATTAAATGCGTTTAAATTCCCAAATACCATTCTGAGTTTTTGCTGCAGTTCTTGAAACTGTTTCTCCTTCACTGCAAGATTGATGTTTTCTTCTCCCACCCTGTACTGAGATGTGACCTTGGACCTTATCAAGTCTGTAGTTACTTTCTTCAGTTCCTTAACACAGGAAACACGTATAAATAGTTCATCCAGCATAGGCATTGCAATTCAAAACAGAGACAAATCTTCTAAACTATCCTGAGTCATGCCCTACTTTTAAATAACGTATGGAAACGACAGAATAAATTAGAGGGACTGAAATTTCTAGGACTGATTTGTTAAACTTCTAACTTGTCACGTGTGACTCAAAGTTTACTTTCAGAGGTAAAATGTTATTGTGCTGATTTTACTTTGTTTGAAGCATTTACTTAATCATTTTGCTGTTTTCTTCTCCAAGAAGTAGAGTAGAAGTGAACATTGAGTTGGTATTGGTAAAACCTGCTACACTGAGTTACACACCAGGAGTAAAGTACTGTTACAACTACTTGGGAATGAGGAGGGAAAAGGGAAGAACAGAGATTATCTGGTAAAAACAGGAACTGGCTATAAATTTGGAGGATCTTTGCTTTTCCTGAAACATTAATTACTTAATCTCAGGAGAATGCTAAATTAATTTTATATTAGAAGCTTCTACAACATGATGCCTTTGATTTTAGAGGCTTTATCCTCTTTGAAATATCCTGCTTTTTTTTTTTAACTTTTCCTATCTGTTTTCTAACCAGTTTATTCCAAGCTCCTAGTGCAGCAAATAAACAGCAAATGCTTTGATCTCATTAAATTACAACTTATAGTTCCTGGAGCCATAAATATTGTGCCCTGTTCTCCCCCACCCCTCCCGTTGTGGTGCAAGGTAGTCTGGATAATATCTCTCTCTCCTTGAGTGCTCTGACGTTTACTCAGACAAACTGCAGAGGTTCTGAATGCTGCTCACAGATAGTATCAAGAATTCTTCATGATGCCATAGTGGTGAACCAAGCATTCAGAATGGTAATAGTTTTATCTAACAACTAAGTTTGGTCTGTTTAACTTTTCTTCACAAAACTGGAATTCCAGTTATCACAGACAGAATTATCATGGACCAATGGTTTAACTGTTCTGGACAAAATCATCTCACAGTACAAAAGGAGAAGAAAAGATTATGCTGTAGCTGAAATTCACAAAGTTGTCTGGTAAATACAAGTGTAGGTACTACTTTTGAATAAATCATTTCTTTGGCAGAGGCTTTAGTTCTCATTTATCTGAGCCATAAATAAATCTAAAATGGTCTAGTAAGAGTTAAGTGTAATTGCAGAATCAATTACAGAATCCAAAGACAGCAATGCTTTAAAATTAGTATATTCTGTAAGCTAGTAAGGGTTTTTTTCCCCATCTACTGCAATAAAAACATACATGAGTTGTCCTATTTTCACCTGAAGGCTCTGTAATGAAATATGTAAGGAGAGTTCCTCCAGTTGAGAGGCAGAAGGTGCAAGTAGTTTAAACTTAGTAAAAGTAAAAAGATGCACAATGTCAATCTGCACAGAAAAGTGGATCAACAGGACAGAGAACACAACTAACCCAAGCAGGTGCAAAAGCCTCCATGGATCTGATACTATATTTTCCAAAACTCAGTGTGCAGGAAAACTCTTACTACTGATTTTGTCATGGGGAATGAACAAGTGGCAATAAGCAAATCAGGCCCTTGAGGTAGAAAATGATTGGATTTTCTTCTGCTCTGTAAATAGCAGGTGGATGTGTACAATCCATCTGAAACCAAACCCAGATCTGCTAATACAAAGCCCTAGGCAGGAAAACCCAACAAACAACCAAAACCCAACATGAACCCAAAAAAAAAAAACCAACATCCCACAAGACTAAACCTGTGCAGATCAGACCTCAATTTAACCCACATTCACTGTTGCACATATTTAACACCCCTATAACATACTTGCCATTTCATTAAACACTGAAGTTAGTTGATTTTTAGCCATAAATGTTGAATAACATCCACTAACTTCATCTTCCCATTAAGAACAAATGTGTGAGATCATTCTGCTCTGAGTCAGAGTAATGGCTGTGATAAGAGCTGACAACCAAATGAAGATTTTAGTACTATGGATAGTCATTCCCACTCTGGCACTGAGGCTACAGAGAAAAGAAGTTTGAACCCATATATTGTCAGAGCTGTTAGAGGTCAGTCCAGTCTCTGAGGCAGATAAAACCAGCTTTAGAAGTTGTCCCAACTTGTGCTGTAGATATCAGGACTTCTTTCAGATATGCAGCAAGTGAAAACAGCCTGGTAATCCCTTTTCCAAACCCTTCAAAATATCCCAGTTTAGTTTTTCACCATTGTTCAGAATAGATGGTCAAAAAAGCAGCAAGAAATTCAGAAATAACTACAATAAAGGCACTTCCTGGTGAACTAAGGAAGTGAGATTAAGTTTCAGTTGGCTTTTTCTTCTGCTTATCTAACAGTATTTTATTTGAAATCCATCACCCATGACCTTAAGAATCGAGAGTACAGCTGAAAAAGGAGTGGATTAAGAAATATGTTTGATAGCTGGAGTACATAAATCACTAACAGTTTCTCTCTCACACCTATGTTACTCACAAATTTCACTGTGTAAAATTTTCTTGAACATTTCTGGTTTCTTACAGGCTGGATGAGCCTTGAGCAACCTGATCTAGTTGGGAGGTGTCCCTGCCCAGGGCAGGGGTTGGGACTAGATGATCTGTGAGGCCCATTCCAACCCTTAAATTCTATTATTATGATTCTATAATTTTACATGAATGTCCTTCTTTTTCGTCACATACAAATCATTCACCCTTTTTTAAAGGAATTGAACCCAATGCACACAGACAAAGTTGTCTTCATCCTAACAAATATGACTGTTCTATAGAGGAAGGTTAGCACCACTGACACCTTCCAATAGTCTCCTGTTGCTCTTCCATATTTCAGAGAAATATATGTAGTTTTTATATATAACCTATCATTTGAATTATGTAGCCAAAAAAAGCAGTTTAAATGTCATAAAAGCTAACTGTGATTTAGAAACTAATCTGAGAGTTTTTCCTGTCTTCTGCTTTCCTGTTACTGTATTTCTCAGCCTGTTTTTATGATGGTAAGAGCTCTGAAATCTTGGAGATCAAACAGCCACTTCAAAACTTGATCTTTTTCACAATGAGGTTTGGAATGTTTTATTCGAGTATGTAACAAAAAAAAAAAAATCTAGATCGAATTCCTGATTAATTTTTACTGTGGCTAGAATACCTTCATGTAATAAATATAAAAGTCAGGAAAGCACTAAAGTAAGCAAGGATGAAACAAATTTTAAAAAAAAACAACCTCAAATTGTCTCTATTTCAAGGTAAAATTAAATTTTAAGTCAGGCTTTTAGTGACACCATGCTCCAAAAAACCTTAACAATAACAGGCTGTGTGCTCTTAAGGACAAAAGAGAAACCAACACTAGATTCAGGGAGAATTTTCAAGTACTTCTGTACTTTCAAGTCCCATTTTTCAGGCAAAGAAAGGACGTGGCAGGTAAACATTTTTTTGATAAATTTAACCCAAATATAAAATGGTTATAGTCCCTGTTCCTCAAGTACAAATTATCTCCTCACCCTGTCTTTTGGAAATTCACAATATTTCCATAGATTCCAGAGTAGTCCAAAGCTTCCAGCTGGAAACTGGGGATTAACATCAGGCCAAAAAGCTAAGAACTGTCATGTATTTGTTCCCTACCTGAAATCCTCAGAGAATCTAAGGGAGGAAAAATAGACCAGGAAAAAGAAAGATAAGGAGATATAAAAAAAATATGTGTTACAGAAAGATGCTGAGTTTACAGAACAATTCTGACTTAAGAGGGTCCTTTTGTTTTTATGTCAGCACTTAAGAAAGAGCTCCAAGGGCAAAGAGAACTTTCTTCTCCCACTATTACATATGTTCCCCAATGCAGCTCACAAAGGAACTTTGTGAATACAGGTAGGAAAGAGCTTAGTGGTCAGACAACTCCTTTGTAAATAGGATCACTGTTGTGACAGACTGATGTCTCACTGCCTTGTCACATAGCTCTCTCTGATGGCAACTCAGTTCTGATTTTCATCCTACTTTCAAGCTCCCAACTTGCTTCTATGGCAACTACTCTTCATGTTCTACCTCTGACTGAACTGACAACACCACTGCCACCTTTCCATATCAGCTGGGAGAAGCAATGGTAACACAGCACAAGAAGGAGAGATTACCAATAATTAGCAAGAAACCAGCAGGATACAGTAGATTCCCAAGTTATGGAAACTCTTAGAGCAGCTCCAGTTATAACTGAATATCTGTGTTTGCATAAGACTAATTAAGCCATTAGTCACAGAACAAAAACCATTTCTGCTGCTTGTCCATTACTTCTCTTAGTGCTGCAGTGGCTTTCAGAAGTCCCAAAGAATGCTGGTTCTACATCCAGAAATGCAGATGGTACTTACTTCCTTCAGGTTACTTATTTCAGCCTCTTGTCTCCTGTTCACTGCTGTGAGTCTCTTGTTGTGCTGTATGGCTTCCTGCACTTTGAAGCAAAGTTAAAGCATGTGAATAAATATTCTCAGATTTGATTCAATATTTGATTTGTAGGTGCAATGCATGCGTATATAATTTCTCAAAAGTCATTTAGGAGACTAAACCTGAAAATGTGATTCAACTGCTTTTTCTGTGCAATGTGATACCACACTGGGGGATTACACCAGGTGAGACCAGTGGTTCCATACCTCAAACCATGAGTTAAGACTTTTCTGTATGTTGGTTTGCCTTTTAAAAATTGTAATTGAATTTTTAGTGTCATTTGATGTCATTTTATTAGGATCACTTCTCCATGAACTTCTAATCTTACTTTTGCTTTTTTTTTTTAACCAAGATTTTGCTTGCAATTTTCTGATGAGTTGAAGTATTTTCAGAGGGGCATAGAACATAATGGACCACAGAACACACAAATAACTGACTTAACAGATGTATCAAGTTATATGCATCTAGGCCATGGAAGACAGCAAAGATAATGTAGCAAAAAAACCTTTTAAGAATAACTTTAGTCCCTCCTGAAAGGGAAGGGAATTTTCTCTTAGACTTTATACAGACCAAGATATTACTAGGAAATTGCTTGAAATTCCACAGTGAAAAGCTGAAGATACTCAGTGGTCCCTGGACTTTTTCAGTCACCTCTATTCAATCTTAGTGTTTTGTTCTTCTGAGGTGTCTCTTCAACCTTTTCCATTTTCTGATTCCTCTTCATTTAGTCCTAATCTCTTTTGCCTTATTTCCCTCAACACACCACACTTGAACACAAGAACTCTAGATACTCCATCACACCCAGGAGGTTCTGCTAAAGATGTTCCATCACAGGGAGTGATGGACAACAGCCTTACAATACCATAAGCAATTTTGCAGCTTTGTGTAAGAATATGTGCTTAAAAAAATGAAAATACTGAAGAATGTAACAGCTAAGACAACTTGGGAAATAAACCCACAAAAACAAGCTGGCAAAAATTGGTGAAACTCTCCTGCCTTTCAACAAGGCACATGCTCAGTCTCTAGCTTTAAAATACTAATAGCAGGACGTTGGTTAGCCAATGAAGTTCTGGATTTATTAGGGATTCTGCTGTTTTCCCTTTACAGCACTATAACATATCCATTTTCACTGTCTTGTTTCCCTCCATATTGCTTTAATGCAGCAGATAAAGAACCACAGTTTATAAATTTAAACCATTTGCACAAAATTGTTCCTGTGTTTCCTGCCTGCCTTTCCCACTGAGAGCACTTTCCTGCTCAGGATTTACAAGTTACCTATGTGCACACCTCACACTGCCATGCAAATTGAATTCTCTCTGCAGCAAGGACACACCAGAGTCAAACTGGGCAAAATATTGGCTATGGATTAGCAGTTAGTAGCAGAGTTAATCTTCTCTAGAGTTTCATTTTGCAATTGCTGCTAAGTAGAAACATGGCACAAAACATTTATGTATCATTCAAATGTGGTGAAAACAGAGTAAATGTTATGTTTACATGAAATAGCAAAGCAACTTTTCTGTATCTAACAGTAAACCCCTGTCCAATGTAAATGAGAGCAAAACTGAGCAACATTTTATCTTAATTTGGGTTTAATATTACATATTAGCCTAATTAAAAAAAATACAAAAAGTAACTTGAGGTACTGAAATATGACAAATATGCATAGAGTATGTTACCAGTTCATTCAAACTAGAGCTAAAAAAAAAATTTGGTTTCAGGCAAAACCCAAAAATTTAGTAAGATTCAGTATGTGAAAAGCTTTATGGTGATTTTAGGGGGGTTTTTTAGCTGTTGAGGTTGGTTGGTTTTGGTTTTAGTTATACAACTACTTCTCCCTTTCCTTACTAACACTCATTTGTTTTGATGTCCTGTGTGTGTGTTTACAGGGATGAAAACTCCAGGCACACAAAACACACACAAATCTCTGTTCTACACACACACTGAGACATTTGCACAGAAATTTATCACTTGGTATGGAGAAACAAGGATTTCTCTCTGAAATTAATGGCTGCCAAACTTCATTTCGATGAGACATACATACCACTGTGCTCTAGTTTTCCATGAACACCTTTTATGATTCCAAACTGTGATGCAATAGTAGCATAACACCTCTCAACTTCATTCAGTTTCTTATGATGCTCCTCTTTCCCCATGAGCTGCATCTGTAATTTTTGATCCTGTTGGAAACATAAAAGAAGCACCCACTTAGTAAACAGCTCTCCAAAGGCTTTTGGATGTAATAGCATAAATGCAAAATCATTCTCAGATTATTTCAGCTATTTCATATCTAGTGATCAGTTCCCATGTACAGAGAGCAGGAAAATCTTCAACTGTGGGTTAGATTATCAGAAAAGCACTTCTACATGTTGTGCCTTATATATAGGAGAACTTCCATGTAGATGCCTGCAGAGCTGTAAAAATTCTTTCCAATCCTGAGCTCAAGTTTTCCTTAGTTGTGTGGCTTAAACATGTTGTTTAGTCTGGGGCCCAGTGACAATTTGTAGACACCTTAACTCACAGCCCCCGTGACCCACTGTCCCAGCACCTTCAGACACAAGCACAGGGCAGAAATGAGTACGGGGCAGGAGACAGAGCAGGAGATCCATAAACTTTGGCAACAGTGCTAGTTTATGCATCACAAAAATAAGGCCTATGGACACTTGTTGTCTCCTGTTACACAATAGGATCATCCACATGCAAATATTGTTCAGCCTTCTTTGCAAAGCCACCAGTGAAAGCACTGTCTCTCTTTTATGGTCTCAAACATTTTCCAGCATAATATGGCTTTAATCAATAAGGAAATTTTTTTAAGCTATATTGCAATAAAGACTCCAACAGGTTTTCTTCCAGTACAGCACTGTTCAAAGTACAGGGGCACTATGGGAATCAAAGGATTTGACCACATGTGAGGAGAGGCTGAGGGAGCTATGACTGTTCAGTCTGGAGAGGAGGTGACTCAAGGGGATCTGATGAATGTATGCAAGGAACAAAGAAATCACATTCAGACTCCTTTTAGTGGTGCTCACTAACAAAAAGTGAAAGACAGGAAATGCCACTTCAACTTGAGGGGAAAAAAAATTATTGTAAGAGTGGTCACACACCAGAACAGGTTGCACAGGCTACAGAGTCTCCATCTGTGGAGATACTAAAAACCAACAGGACACAGCTCTGGATTTCAGCCACCTCCAGGGACATCCAGCCTCACCACTGCAGGTCTGGGGTTGTTAAAAATCACACAGCACAAGGGCAATCAGGAGAGAGTTTGTGGGTTTGACACACTGAAATAAAGCATTTCAACACCCCTGCTAAAAATCAGAAGTGCATCAACTACTTCTAGAGTGGTGGTGACTGATTTCAGCTTGTGAAACTAATGCAGATTCCACCAATCTCTCTCTCATTTTGTGAGGGGTGATTGAAAACACATTCACAGGAATCTATCCTCAGTGACACAAGCCACTGATCTTTTTACAGCTATTTGCTACCCTTTCTTTCATATACACTAAGTTTCTGGTGTTCCACTTTATACTGCTCTTTGCTAATAGCTTTGAAGGTACAACTTGGTCAATGTAAAAATTAATTTTCTCTGAAGAGAATGGGTTAAATTAACTCCTCAGAAAGGATAACCATTTATTTAGCTAGCCAATCTATTTCTAATCTACAGTAGAGCAGCACAGCAATTAAAATGAGTTGGGCCAAATTCGTTCCTCTGTGTAAATTCAAGTTACACAAGGATGCATCTGGCCCAGCCTGTTTGGCTTTAGCAAGGCTCCATTTCCATACAGTAACAAATGCAATACATGTCCAAGCATCAGAGGATAATAAAAGCTGATAGCAATCAAAAGAAATGACCACAATAAGGCTAGCAAAACAGGATATAACAATACAAATTTCTCATGTTTTATAAGGTATGAAATTAAACACACTACAGCAAATGGAAAGTCATAATGGAAGCACTGGGAAAGAAACAGCACCACTTCCAGAATCACTGCAAGGAATGGAGGTTGAGGGTGTTCATATACTTTCTCTTTTCCCTAATCAGAAGTTAACTGTTGAAGAACTGTGCTTAACTAATGTTAGGAGGGGGATTTGATAACCAAAAGATTCAAAGGAAAGATTTTCTTTCTTTGTCCTGATAGTCCCTCACGTGTATTTATTTTAAGAGACTGAGGAACAGGGAGGCTTCACTAATTTGAGACTTGAACATCTTGTGGCAAGATCTGAAGGTTTTTGCACTCTTTTAATATGGATTTTTTCATAGTATTATCCCAATTTCTTAAGTGAGCAAGACTGTGTCAGTCTCTCCTCCTCTCTCAGAAGTAGAAATATGCTTTGCTATTTCACAGGGCTCTTTCCAGGGGAAAAAAAAAAAAAAAAAAGGAACTGGTGTGCTCTATCTGCAAGAGTTTTAATTAGAGCTTACCACTTGCCTAGATGTGATTTTTGATGGCAAGCCTCTCTCCAGGCTTAGTGCACAGTAAAACAAAAGCCTGAGTATGCGATTCGTCTGCTCACAGTAAAAAAAGCTGTAAAACATTCTTCCATAGAAGACAATCAAGAAACTCCAGGAGACACTGCAGGATAGGGAGGATATGACCCTGGAGTTGGAGTAAGACACAATCTTGGTTCTTCTTCCTAATGCCCGATACTGCAAGACCAGGAATTATTGCCCTGCCCTCCACCAGTAATAAAGATAAGCTGGGATGGGGAGTGGAATTGATTGTGGCCATATGGTTTGTTGAGGCACAATGATTTCTTGGTGGAACTAGACCAGAGAAATAGCTCAGGGTCAAGTAGGTGACTGGAGGAACACAAAGAGGGAATTGCTCATATCTCAAAGATATTCTGGAAATTGAGTCACTAGTCAGAGGTACTCAGTGAAGCAGAAGGTGGTAATTGGGAGGTGAAAGTGTCAGAGAAACAAAGGAGATGTAATGGCATGGAGACCTAAGGCAAGATCATGTGGAAATTATGCAAAGGGTTATCAACTGTAAATATCAGAAATAGGAATTTTTTTTCACAATAGTTCCTTTACTTCCTACCATTTTTCTACTTAAAAATAACTGGGTTTAATTAATACTCTATCACTGCCTTCCCACTGTGTTTTTAAGCAACATAATATGATTACAGGCAAACTCCTAAAAAGCCCAGAAAGGAAATAAAAATAACACTCCTATCTTAGATTATTAAGAACAAACCAACCTTTAAAGTTTCCTTTCTTTAACATTTTGCAGTAATTACTTTTTCATTCATTTGGCAACTACACCTGTATAGGAAAACTAAATGGTGTCAGGGAAGCTCTCAGTGCTGTTGTCAAAATATCCCTGACACATGTTGGCCTGGGCCAAGTAGCAGTTCCTGGGCATAGTTCAGGCAATTGTCTGCTGGGAACAATGTGGGTTGTTTGGATCCAGCCTCCCTCTTTTCTGAAGAGTAATAGAATTTAATCAACCTAGACCATTTGACTGCAGCTGCACTAAATGGTTTCACATACATTTAGTTTACCAATACAAACACAGTCACAAGTGCAACGAGACTAGTTCACACTCCTTCATCAAACCACTCCCCCCATCTACTCTGCTCACTAATACTGGTGCACTGAATCATGACCTTGTAGATGTTGATGTGTCCCCACTGACTACACAGACATCTTGCACTCCAAATTTGCTCATATGAGCTGCACACAAATTTGGTTTCTACAGCAGTCAGCACCAGCCTTCAGCTCATTCCTGGGGTTTTTTTACATTTTAGCCCCATATCTATGTAGACATTTAAGACTTAGGTACTGCAGAAGACAACTAACTCCAAATGTTCTCTCTCTCAGACATGCAAGTTAGTAAGGGAAGACACAGATGATACATGCAGAGAGTTTTGGCATTCGACACCCTATTACCTGTCAGGAAGCCAAGCCCTGACCACAGCCACTTTCTCCCACTTATTTCCTTATTTCAGAAGCAGGAAAAAAAAAAATGCATTGCAGAGCTCACACTCAAGGATGTTCTCTCAAGACAACCAGCTTTGCAGTAATCACCCTGTAGCCTTCTGACCCCATGAGCACTCCCAGCCCTTCTCAGTGAGGTGCAGAGCAACTGCACTGCATGCAGTGAGCAACACTTTAGTTGTGGGAACAAAAAAAATACAATCTTTGCCTCTATCAATCTTTCAGTATGAAAGAAAACCTTCCACTGCTCCAACATTCTTGCATCTAATTAAGAATTATACCAACAGTACAGTTTTTTCACAAATTAACTAGAGAGCATGCTAAAATATGGTGTATATGTGAAGTGTTGATGTTGTGTATTCCAGTCTAAAAGAAGAGAACTGAAGGAGCAAACCCAGAATAAAATGCTACAGCAGCAAGGCATGCTCAGTCCCCAGCACATACAGCAGCTCCTTCAGTGACCAGCAGAGTTGCTGAGGTGCCAGATATAAGCACATCTGCTTACTCTCAAAGCACAAGGCAGAGCATGACTTAATCTGTGTGTAACAAACTTCAAATTGAAACAGAAATGGGTCTCGGATAAATGGATGGTTTGGGATTTCATCCATTTTACTTTTAAACATTTTGCCATTTGGGATGACCTAGAGTCTATTGGGCTACTACCACTACTACCTTGACCCTTTGAAAATACAGGTTAAAATAGAATTTAACCTGGTCCTAAAACTCTGTTCATTCACTACAGCATAAGGCTGTAGGAAAGAATTCACTTGTTTACCTTGTGATTTTTTTTCCCAGCATTTCCTATCAGAGCATCTTCCATAAATAAGTCCAACCTGCCCATATTACATTTAGTGCTACATGCAAAGGAGGTTTTGTAATAACTTATCCCCCACTCAACAGCATTTTTAATTCCCATACTCTGTCCCCAAGTCACAGTACCCCAATGTGGTCAAACTATGCAAATAATCAATTATGATGAGTTTATAAACACTAGAAATTAATATATTTGTTTAAGCAGCACAGATGCATTTCCAGCTTATATAAAAGGTGTCATCATTTAAACATTTTCACTCCTGTGGAAGACTGAGCTGGTAAGTTATGAAGAAGACAATATGTGAAATGACCTAAATATAATTCCAATCCTTTTGTACATTTTTAACATGTTTTTAGATCAGATGCATTTTAAGAACAAATACAGGTTAAAAAGTGAAGTAAGACAAAACACATTTTATGTTGTCTTTGATCTTTAACTTGTAGCCTTATCTCCCAGGTCAGAGGGCACATTATTCAATCTCACCATATTTTGTGTAAAACCACTGTAGCGTTGAAGATGACTTTCAGTACAAATGTCATGGTACTTAAAGCTAAACTGGACCCTAGTTTTTTGAGCTTCTTAATTAAAATCACAGTTTGTAATGGTCTGACAATATTATCTTTATTCTTTCCAGTTGAGCAGCAGCAGAATTTTCACAGCATTTATTCAATCAAGCTTAGCAGTGTTTCTGCCACTCACTCTTTCACTTCCTAAAACAGACAACAGGGTTCAGAGCGACTGTGCTGTCACTCTGGATAAATTTATTCCCTGTGACAAAGGGAGTAAGCTGGGCTGGATGAAAGCTAAACTAGCCAGGGGAACTGATGTTAAGAAGTAATTCTGAGGAGGGAAAAAGAGTGAAGGGAAAAGCATCAGTTTTTTTGAAAACAAAACTAATAATTGCTTGGAATTCTCTCTTAGTTTGGAGCCTAATATGCTACAACCTATCAGAGTAATATTACATTATTCAAATGAAAGACTATAAAAAAAGTCTCTAATCTATAAAGAGAACAACTGTACCAATTCTACTTCAATTTAGGGAGAAAAAAATGCCATGTGCTAAACAGTAGCTACTACACTATAAAATCCTAACCATATTGTCTTCAAAAGTTTTTCAGATTCAAAGCTCATACACCTCTTTGCTTTATGTGCAATAATTAGCACACATCATGTAAATATCAGAGCTGTTTAGCATTGCATTTTACTCTAACCAGATATTTTCTTTCTATAAAAGCTGTGCCTCTTTTTTTTTTACTGCTCTGAATTTCTTACCATTTCATTCAGTTTCTTTTGCAAAGTGTATTTTGAAATCTGTAAAACAAGAGAGAGTTATGCATTAAATTGTACCTACATTTTTCCTGACAACAACCTGAATATTTAGATATTGTTACATCTAAGATTCAAGTGTATTTTTTGCCAGTCCATCCAATGCAGCAATAATGGGTTTGAATTAATAATGACACTATTTCTTTTATTATTATCTTCACTTTACATAACTTCACCTCAATATTTAAATCACAAAAAACCACTCTACACTGATTTGTTACTCGAGGAGTTTTGAGAATAAAACACATCAATCCTTGTGTTTTCTGACAGGTGTCATAAAAACAACATGCAAATGAACCACAGCTTGGAAAGTAGACTTTGAGAAGTAAACAGAGAATAAAACAGAGATAGAAATTAATGCATTCCTTTAACTCCTGCAGGAATATAAGTGTGTTCCCTGTTGGAAAACAATAAATATATAGCTATATATTCTGAATAGCAGCATGGAAAGATATATTGTACCTATCTCACATGCTTTGATCCTCATCAGAGAACCATCACAGAATTTTAGGGGTTGGAATGGACCTTACAGATCATCTAGTCCCAACCCTCTGCCATGGGCAGGATATAAGGCTGATATTAGCTGTCATTAATACTATTTTAACACACTATTGACAGAGTATTTTGCCTTGCACAATACTTAAGCATAAGAGGAAAAAGAAGAGCAATGTCAAAGAACCAAGTTGTGAGCAAATCTGATACAGAAAACACCATTTCTAGGAAAAACCTAGAGAACCATCATTTTAAGGTAGAATCCTGACTCTCTGGATAGAGAGGAATACAGGACCTAACTAAAAATTTCTCACTCTTATTTTAGGCTGACCTCCAAACCATGACCAATGTCACCTCCTGCTTCCTCGAGCCACAGCAGAATTCCCTAGATCTGAACTACAGTTACACAAATGTTTGATCTGTGAACATTTCAGTTAAGCTCCTTTGAAATTTCTGGTTTATCTTAGAAAAGAAAGGCCAGTGGAATCTTTCCCATTACTCTTGCTGTCCACATATTATGTTTAGCAGACCATGGAGGGATATTCCACATCATCTGTGTTATGCCAAAGTTCAAACCAGGCAACAAAATCCTTACAGCTATTGCACAGAAGGCCAGACATGGGAATTAGTTTGGTTTGCTCCTAAAACACATTCAGTGTTAACTAAATGATTAAACAAACAGTCTGATATCAAGTAAATGCATACCATTGTAGGAGAATGTTAATAAGAACCAAAACAAGTTGCAAAGTCATAGTAATAATTCACTATAACCACTTTGTTTTCAGTGGAATTAACTAGAATTATCCCACTCAGTTTTAGGCAGGAAAATAATTAGTTCCTGGGAATACCTGAAATCTAGCAATGTATTACAATGCTAATAATCCATTTTCTATGTATCATTCTGGGTCTGAACTGGTAAATAGAGAAACCTCCCACTGAAACAAAGGGAAAAGCAGAGAGAGCACTGCGAGTTGGAGGCCCAGTGAGAACACATATTTCTGCTTATAAGTCCAAACCCAGAGATTTCAGACAGGTGGGAAGTCAGAAGACAAGAGTGGAAATAAAGACTGTGGAAATGAAAAGAAAGCATATTTCACACACTGTTTGGACTTCTGAGTCTGCAGTTTTTCTAAAGGAAAAGAATATTAGCTGGAAGAATAACTTAAAATAGTCTTGATGGTGAAGATTAGAACAGAAAGTCAGTTAGGAAATGAGGTGTAGATGTCCTAGAAAGACCAAATGAGAAGGCCTTGAAGACCCTCTTAAAAAAACTCTATTTTCTTATTAGTGAAACAACTTCAACCAAAACATTTGCATACCAAGAAAAGTTATTTAACTAAAGTAATAATTTACCTGCAATGCTTTCAATGTTTCTTTCAACCCATCAATTTCTTTTTCTTTTGTTTCCACAGCAAGTTGGTATTTTCCCTTTCAACAAAAGTCAAAGATATATAAGAATATATATATAATCTAAATTTATACTTAGAACATGGTTGGTAACATATAGGGCATTATCATTTGCTTCTGTGCTTCTCTGGATGACAAATAACAAACGATTATAAAGACAGAGTACCTTTTCTTCCTCCATGGCAAACATCCTTGCCTGTAACTTGGTTGTCAGTGGCATAAAGAAAAGAAAGAAACAAAAAGATCAGTACATAGAATCATAGAATTTAGGGGTCAGAATGGACATTACAGATCATCCAGTCCCAACCCCTGCCCTGGGCAGGGACACCTCCTCACTAGATCAGGTTGCTCAAGGCTCATCCAGTCTGGATTGAACACCACCAGGGTTGGGGCAGCCACAGCCTCCTTGGGCAACTTGTGCCAGTGTCTCACCACCTCTAGAGAAAAAAACTTTTTTCTCATATCCAACCTAGATTTTCCCTCCTTCAATTTGAACCCATTGCCCCTTGTCCTATCACTGCAGTTCCTAACACAGAGTCCCTCTCTGGCTCCTTGTAGCCCCTTCAGATAGTGAAAATTTGCTCTGAGGTCTCCACACAATCTTTTTGGAAAAATAAAGAATAATCCCAGGAGGGGTAGCTCCCTGGGAAGAACTGTCAAAACACAGGCATTATAGTGTGTCCAGAAGAAAGAAAAAGACATGCTTTCTTTGAGCTGTATATGCTAAAATTTGATATGCAACAGAAAAATATTTTCATACCAACTGGCTGTGATACCATCATTTGTGAAAATCTCACTGTCAGAGCTAAAAGGCTTATTTTGCTACCTGTTTTTTAAAAGCTGCCATGGCTTCTTTGTTTTGCTGGTACAATGTGTCCATCTGATGCTGGAGAGTTTCCTGCCCATGAGAAGGAATAACAGTATAATTGAAGTATTATCTTACAGCAAACCATATAAATTGAGGCTATTAAAAAGAATGAATGGGAGAAAATAAATTGATAATTTGTTTCACACACAAGAAGTCTAAGTCTCCTGCCTTGATTGAGAAACCCAAAATTGCTGTTTTCTCCAGCAAACTGGTGTTGATTCCACATTCCACAAGTGAGAGCTGTTGCCCTTTGATACAAAACAAGAATCTATGAAGGTGTTTTATATTCATGTACTTACTCATTAACTTTTTGCAAGATAAGTAGAAAAAGTTTTGACTTGTGTCCAACAAACAGTAGACACTACATAAATGAATAGTAAAAAACATGAAAACAGAAGTCCTGAGAAAGGTTTTCCTTGGGCTGTCCCTTAGCACTGGCTCAAAGAAAGGTTCTGCAGTGGGTGAAGGGCACACCAAGTATGCCAGAGAGCCAGAAACAGTAGTGCAGGGACAGCACATCAACTGTTGGACTGTTCCTACACACCTCAGGAATAGATTGTTATACCCACAGAGCTGCCAAATTAAGCTGACACTACTTTAAACTAAAGGAATTCAAGCCAATAGCATATAATAATCGATGCAGATATAAATTTGGTGTCATAAAAGTCATCCTTTCTGCAATTCTGTCGTAGGTGTAGTGAAAGAAAAGCAGTACTGAAGTGTTTATAAGATACCACTTTCTTGTATTGCATATTTGAGTGATGCATTTTACCCTAAAAAAAAAGAGACAGGGTCTGTCCATAGATATTCATTTCCTAACAAGTCCCACAGACAAAGATATCAAGTAAAATGATTATACATAACTTTCCCAGAAATTCAGGTTTGGAATAAATTTTGCACGAATGCCACATATGTGTGGTACAGGGAGACTGGAAAAATATGTTATTTTAGAAAAGAATAAGGAAAATCCACTTTGATATTGTGATGCTATAGCAAATGAGTATACACATTGGATTTAAAGGAATATTTTCTCCAGTTACTCTGCTTTCCATACTCTAGCATATTTTTTTCAAGAGCAGCAATAGTGTTCATAAAATGTAGGTGAATATTTGCTTTAAAATTGTAATGTTAAACCAGAAACTTGGCTCAAGTCATGCTTTTATTTTAAACTATTTTGCTAAATTTAAGATAAAATAAAATGAATGACAGGAATGTTGACTGAAAGGGAAATCTCTGAAGGAAAAAAACACAGTAGACCTTGGATAAGCCAAGGAGAGCTGTCTGCTTACTGAGCTACTGCTGAGGTCGATAGGAGTCTGAAATCAGAAACCATCAGGTCACAGACTCAATTTAAATGTCATCCTTAGCATCCTTTGCATCTTACTGCAATCTCCAGGATTGGAAACTCATATTAGCTTGTTCCTCTATGTGCTCACATGAAGTTCCCAAAATCATTTTGCATCTTACTGCAATCTCCGGGATGGGAAACTCATATTAGCTTGTTCCTGTATGTGCTCACATGAAGTTCCCAAAATCTACAGCTCCTTGTTTCCTTTAGCTTTGCCATGTGCCAGTGTGAACTGCAAAGGGCAGGAAAAGAGTTCACCTAACTCCCAGTCCCACCCTCTATCAATGGTAAATTAAATTGCTCTTCAGGCCTCAGAATGAGTGGAAATCATCCATTTGAACCCAGCTTGCTAAGAAAGGCAATGCTAGGTTAAGAAAAGCAGAGAAGGGCTACAAATTGAAGCCCTGTTGCTTTTACAAATACAAAATGTTTCCTGTTTCTGTGGGCACATATATATCTTTCAGGGGAAAAAAAAAAAGCACATAGTTAGGGTTATTAATTTAAGGTGGTTAGGATGAACTCCAAGTTGGAATAGTCTTTCTTTACTACTATGATGTTAAATATCTCAAGATCAAGGATAGAGCTGAAATTATTGTTTTTTCTGGGATCGTAAAATATACAGAGTGAAGCCTTTTATCTTGTGACCTAGTGACAGGGGTCATAGGTTTGATAGTATTAGAGAAGGGAATGGATTTCCTATGAAAGCATAACCTCAGGAGCCCTAACCCTAAGAAGAATGTTGGACTGATTTTAGTGAAAACTTCATACTGAACATTTCAAAGCTGACAAACTACTTTTGAGGATATCTAACATACAAGGGTATGTTTAAAATCATTTTTTTGGGGGGAAAAAAAAAGTCACTTCCAAAAGATTTTAAGTGAAGTTGTTTGCTGCACTGGTACCTGCACTTGTCAAAGCCAAGCAGAACACCAAGAAGCTGCTGCATAACTTTCCCCACACCAATGTTTCAATATGCCTCATGTTAGGCTAAATGTTAGTGCTTCAGTGTTTCCATCCCTTTTGACTGAAGGTGTCAACGCCAAATATTATGTGTTAAACACATTTCTAGGCTGGGTGCAATCCAAAACAAACAAAAGCTCCAGATGTTCATGGCTAAGCAATAAACTCCTGGTTTGCACATTCGACTGCTAGAAACAACAACAGCCTTAAAAAGAGGAACTGTACCAAATCACAACTTGTATTGATACATTCAAATCGAATCTCAGGGGCAAGTTACCTTCTGCCATTCGAGTTCCTGTTTCTCTACAACAATTCTGCTTATCTGATCTTCATAATTAGCCTCTGTTTTCTAGTTAAAAATCAAACAAATAAATTAATATAAAGCAGTACCTGCAAATCAAACACCAACATAAGTTGTGTATTCATACTCTGCTTCCTTTACAGTCCAGCACACAGAGAAGGATGAGCTTACAGAGTGCACAGCTAGAAAGGAAACTAAAGCTCTCTGAATGTGGCAAAACAGCAGATGAGTTCAGCTGGTCTGGTCAGAATATTTGCAGAATAAGTAACTTGGATTGAAATGCATAGCAGAAGATTAGCAGCTGGAATTAGGATCAGGACAAATGAAAATTTTGTGTCAGCAATTACTTCTGTTATGATGGAAAAAGTGAAATATTTATTATAACCTTCTGTGCCAAGAAGCTTCCTGACCTACCAAATAAAAGAAGTTAGATAGAGTCATGGATAACCAACATGTTTTTGATAAGATGAGCTACCAGAAAAATCTGAGACTATTACTGGAGTGTGAAGTTTCCTTACAGGTACCAGGAAGGTGTGTTACCTCTTGTGTTCTTGCAGAAGCACATTGTCAAGAATCAAAGTGTTCCTGTGCCAAAAATGAGACTTATCTGCTGAAAATCACAGCTGCTAAAAATTTATGGGAATTTTCCTGAATCATTCCAGCATTAAAGACAAATTTTCCCAACAGGAATCAGTTTCCCTTTTGAGTCAAATTTTTCTCAGCACTGACCTTCCTTTACAAATACCATGCTCAAAAGAAGGAAGAACAACAATATTTTGGCTATAAAGTGTGCTGCACCTTAAGAAAGGCAATTCTTTCCTAAACCCAGTACAAGTCAGGGTTCCAAGTGTTTGGGACAAGGATATTCAGAACACAGCAACAATTGGTAAAAAACAGTTTAAAAGAAGATTTTGCAGCCCTGTCTCACTTCGTGTGATATTTGATTCATAGTTCCACTGCACTATCAATAGAAATAAAATGGCAAAATATGTCCCAAGGTGATTTAAAATAGTTTTTTGACATTGACATATTTATAGGTTTTAGGGTCAAAACTGACTTCCTTGATTAACAGGCAGTTTACAGACACATGTGTGGATAGAAAGACAACTCCATCCACAGGAGGCATTGCAGGAGATTCTTGCAGGTTATAAAAATATGCCTCAACACTCACATGAATTTTACATCTAAGATACTGAATATACATTTAGAATTAAATTTTGGCTCATAGAGAACAAGTGGAAATTTCTGTAGCTTTTCCTTCTCTCATATACACCAGTAGGAGAAGAGACATAAAGATTTCATATGTCTTATGGCAAAAAAAAAAAAAAAATAAAAATTAACAGAACCTAAAAGATTACTAATGCTTCCCAGTTCTGCCTTAGCAAATAGCACTTCAGAGACACAATTAATTTGTTTTCTGATACTAATCTATACGTAGTAAAGGAAAATACATCCTGGGGTGATAAAACCAAATGAGATTGACTTAGAGCTTCTTATAAAGGTGCAACTTAAATAATGTATGTCACTAAGCAACAAATGTTGTTAAAATGATATATTATTATCAAAGTCTTTCTCGAAATTGTAAGAAAATGGCATTAAATTGCATTTTAAGCTCTTTGCTGAGAATGCTAAAGAGGATAAAACCCGAAGTTCCAAGTGAACAATACTCCTCCAACTTACTCCCAAATTATAAGGGAATATCTGGAAGCTATCAAAAATGTGTATGTATGTAACTACTGTTGAAAAAACCCCACATCATAAATACTTACACTGAGAATGACAATTACATGATAAAAATGTTCTCATGTGAAATCGCTAACAGTTATAAGCCTTATCCATCATTTTTACATCTTTCCAAGGACATTTACAGTTTGCCCATTTTGAATTGAAAGCTTTTAAAACTTGGGGTGAAGCACTTTTTGTTTTGAAGTTCTATCAGCTGTTTAATAAGACCAAAACATTTTGCTACACTTAGGAGAGTAATACTGTATATAACTCTGATGAGGTATCAAAAACCCACAAAACCTTCAAAAGTGTTCGTTTTTTATGAGATGCCTTAGGACTACATGGATTTAAGTGTTTTTATAAAAAAAGACTACCATAACAATAAAAGAGGAGTAATTTGATGGTTTATTTACTCGTTATAACCTTTAGAAAGTGTTAAGCCTTCTTTAAAGTGTTTGCTTCAGGCTGTAGTTTTACAAGATGGGCTGTGGATTGGTCAAGCCCCCTCGATTCCTGACCCTGAACAGATTTAGGAACGGAGTACAGCTGGCTCATGTCCAGGCAGCCAAAACTGCTCCTAGGTACTTTTATTATCTTTTTCCAACTTATAATCTACCTCCTACAAAATTGCACAGCCAATTCTCCTGCAGCTCAATCAAAGAGTACTCACAGGAACTACAGGGTTTGATTGTTTCATGCTATAATTAGAATCCCCTTCGTGTACTAAACAGACCAGTACAACTTTTAGTAGACCTCATAGATATTGTTCTTGAGTTTTGTTTCCAGGACAAATGTTAAAGGGAGAGAATATATTTACAGCTTTGTTCTAACTTTAGTTCCCCATAAAATATTTTTTGGATTTTAATAGTTAGGACAGTTAACCAAACCCCTTAGTAACAAGACTCAAGCTCTGCCAGGGGAGGGTTAGGTTGGATATTAGGAAGAGATTTTTTACAGAGAGAGTGCTCAGGCATTGGAATGTGCTGCCCATGGAGGTGGTGGATTCACCATCCCTGGAGGTTTTCAAGCTGAGACTGGATGTGGCACTTGTGAGAGCCAAATTTTCTGCATCATGGCAACAGGCATGACCCAGGATTTGTCTCTTTTAGCAAACAAGCAAATATCCTTCTTGTATTTTCTTTCTCAGTGGCTGCTCAGTAGTGTCATCACAAAAGTGGGTAAGCACCAAAAGGTCTAACATATCAAAAAGCACAAATGACAGAATCTGTAGTGCTACTCAGGCTTTCTGATGTCTCAGCCAACAGCAGAAAGAGCCTCCACAGGTGCTTGTTTTTATGTGTGGAAACAGCTCACCAAAACTTATCCTTTGCACCAAAGAAAAACACTAGTCAAATCTGACAAATCATCACTAAGATTTATCTTTCTTGTGTTCAGCTAATCAACATCTACAGTGCTTTGACTGCTACTAAACCCACCCATATCCCCAGGGTGTTAGAACACATTTCTGTGGAAGTAAGGAAGAATTTCTCTGATTTCTTGCTTACATGTTTTTCTGGCTAAGGATGTTTGTTTGTATCTAGGACAAGAAAGTAAATAACACAATATATCTGCTTTCTTGTCCTCATAAACATTTTCCTTCACCCTAATGTCAGTTGTCCTACACACAATTATACTTCAGAAAGCATTAAAGACTTCCAATTTGACCTACTATGCCACAATTTTATACTGCCAAAACTGATTATATTTATCCCTTAAGAAAAGGATCATCTCTTATTTCTCAAGAAAATGCACTCAGCTGATGGCAGAGCAAGGCTGACAGACTTGGAATGAAATGTGTGGGATATCCACCACGAAAGAGTCACTGGGCTGATCAGTCCTTGATGAGTGGGAAAGCTAAACTGGCAAAAAAATAGGACAACATTCAAACTATTGGAGTCTGAAGCAAACCCTGGGGGACAGGGGAAAGAGAAATACAATTTTTTTGTAGATTTTAATTTCATACATATTCCTATTCCATCAATTCAGACTGAGAACAAAGACCTTATGAATAGCCAAGGGAATAAAGTGAAGCCACACCAAGTATAATCATTTAAGCAATATATTTGTTAGAATCATAGAATTTAAAGGTTGGAATGGACCTTACAGATCATCTAGTCCCAACTCTCACACCTCCTCACTAGATCAGGTTGCTCAAGGCCTCAAGGAAACCTGCACAGCCACCACTGATTGGGAATTCATCTGTAAAATGAAACTGTTGAACAGTCACTTCTTAGGAGCAACTCCTCTAAGACACTTTTATTTTGAGAGTGTCACTGCAGCTGTAAGTTTAACCGAGAAAAGTGGAAAGCAGATAGATGCTTTGAAGTAACTCCACTAATTTATTTAAATAAGCACATTCAGAAACAACAAAAAAAATATTTCTACTTGAAAATAGTATCTGATGATGTCAAGTAAGGATCAAGTCTCTCAAAATATTTTCAGAGTTTGATTTTCATCTGTTCAGCTTCACACAGGTCATTGAATCTGCAAATTTGTTTTTATTAATCTGAATTTATCCTGCAGTTTAACCAACCATTCAAGGCAGTTTATTAAACTCCAAACACTTGATAGTTCCCATCCTGAAGAGTCTCCTGTCTCATGGACATGCAAGACCAAAAATGGGAAGAAAACCAGAAGCAAACAGAGGTAAAATAATCTCATCTAAGGTCAAGCCACAGGTCAAAGACAAAATTGTGAGTAAAATGCACAATACTGCTGTGCTGCCTCCCTCAGGATGTGCCTACTGAACCTCATGAGCAATTTGGAAAGTGGCAAAAATAGTAAGGAACCTGCAGCCCTTTAACTTTCACTTCACTTTCTTATGGAGCAGATGTCACTGTTGTACTTACTGTGTTTCATTCTTGCCCATGGTAAAAATAGCATGGTGCAAGCCAAGTCAGTCTCTGAGTTATCACTGCCTTTTCTCAGGGCTGATTAAAAATGTACAGAACAACCTCAGATTGGTTAAATTTGTAAGAGATTCATAGCTAAAATCAGGGGAGGATTTTGTAGGTTTTTTTTTCCTAAAGCAAAATCATCCATACAAAGTTCTACTTAAAAAGATAAAACCAAATGGCACTAGGCATAAGCCACATTATCCATTAACCCTTTTTGTTCAGAATATAAATGTTTTACATTCCAATCTTCAAACATATTAAACAACCAGGCCTGAATTTATTGTGGAATCAAAACAAAAGTTCATTCAGAATACTCTGAGATTTCAAAGTGGCTGTTTGTAAAATGCTTAATCTTTTTGAACTCACTTTTCAAGCTAAACAGGTAAACATATACATATATATACACACACACATATGTGTTTTAGGGTAAGGAAAAGGACAGATATTTTAGAAACTTGGGCCCTGTGTTAACTGTGTAATTGGCTCTTGGCATTTGCATCAATTTTGAAACTAAAAATACCTTTAAGGCAAAAACTTACTTATGTGTTTTTAGGTTAAGGGAAAGGATAGCTATTTTAGAAATTTAGGCCATGTCTTAACTGTGGAATTGGCTCTTGGCATTTGCTTCAATTTTGAAACGAAAAATACCTTTAAGGCAAAAACTTACTCACCTTCCTGAGGCAACTTCTGTAAAATCACAGCCACATACTCATGTAGCATAGCAGACACAAACCAGACAAACAAATCCCCAAAAATCCCAAAAGATGAAACTCCATAAACACCTTAGGCTCTGACCAAGAGCATTGAAACTGCAAAGTTCACAATGTAAATGGAATTCAGCTAACAGATCTTATAAGGAAAGGTATATTCCCATTATTATATCAAATGTTAAATTATTCAGTATTTACTTTTTTATACCAAAATAGTTTGACTAGATTAAACACTACTATTGTAACACAAGTCTGGGGGTCAGACCATGGTTGGCTTCAACAATACTGCATCAAAAAGTTACATCATGCAGCTTTTTATCCTTTTTTTTATTTTTTATGGCAGTTATTCTTTTGTTTATGGCTTTTAAAGAGAGGATTACAGCATTTAACCTAGATCAAAATAAGCATAAATCAAGCATGTCACCAATACTAATATTTTAAAAGCAGTATTCCACATCTTTTGAACAGGTCAAAATCATCAAGTGCAGAAAGATATACTTTAGGTCTTTCAATATACACAACAGTTCAGAAACAGTAAGGGGGAAATAGAAACCAGTGTTTACACACACACAACTGGAGAATTAACCACAAAAAAACACAACTGAAAATTTAACCACAGGAAAATAGAGTTAACTTCAACAGCACAGAACCAATTCTACCTTGGTACTATGAGATGATTGAACTCATATTTCAGAAACAAACCCCCTCCACTCCCAATACTCAGTGTGCTATTGCTGTAGGTCTGTACCTTAATAGCTTAGCAATTTCAAAATGGTGAAATAAAGTGGATTTGGTTATCACAGTAGCTCTTTGCTCTCTCAGGTAAGCACAAGCAAACAGCCAAAAATAAGTCAAAGTCACTGCTTTTCTGGCAGGTGGCAAATCACTGTATGAAGTGGGACTTAGGGGCTTGGAAATTACTTGGATTCTTTCTCTCCCTTTCATCTCAAAAAGTCTGTTCTTAAAGGGAATAACTACAGTGAAACATAAGAATTCAATGTGGATAATTTTGTCAATAGCCTGGTGATCAGCTGTCACCTTTACACATTATTGCAGGAAAGCCACACTCATTCCCATACAACTCTGTGCTCTCACAGAGGATGTGGAATACAGACACTGCCTGGATTTTCAAACAAAAACCTGGTTGGGGAATTCCTCAACATACAGCATGAAGGTGAGCCACACTTACACAGCATTTTCTGAGATCACAGACAGGTGAGACAAAGAAACACTAAAACCAGTATAAACAAATTTACCCTTCTTATACGCAGCTCTTCTACTGCCTCCAACAGACTTGTTTTAAAGTCCAACAGTCGTATGGAAAGTAATGTCTCTGAGGGGCTCTGAAGAGTAGAGTCAAGTGCCTCTGGTTTCAAGTCTTCATCCATTCTTCAAACTTGTGTCTGCAAAATAAAGAGGTGCATTTTCCCTCCAGTTTATCTTTAGCAGAAAATTCTTTTTGTGACGTGTAAAACTACTAACTAGTAGTCACTATGCAATTACCAAAATTTTCACTTTAAATTAGTGTGCAAGATTGTAGAAGCAAACAAGGAGCTTTGTTAGTAATTCACAACATTCCTTTGCTTGTCCTCTATTTTTGGCTGGGGTTTATTTTTAAACAAAGACTGTGATGAGCAGGAAGAAGTAGCTCAGGGTTGGTTTTTTCCCAGAGCTACTGCCCTGCACTGGCATGAAGGTACTGCAACTAATGCATCAAGCCATGAAAAAGTAACTGCCTACCTGCAGGATTTCAAAGGTCACAAGACCTTCAAACTGGCCTGAAATTAGCAACTTAAGGTAAGAGTCACAGTCTCTGCTTCTGAATTTTAACCAGAAAACTTTCTGACTCTGCTTCTACAAGATCAAGTATCAAAACATTGTGCTCTAAGCCAGTTACATCAACTGCTGCCAGGCAAGGAGCTGTGCTAACCTGAGCCCCAGGTGGCTCTGTAAGGACAAAGCAGCTTTGTTAGTGACATCAGAGATGATTACAACACTCAGCATCTTATGCACAAAATAGAACAACTGCACAGATTTCATCTGTACTTCCCAGACTGTATTTTTTTAACACTTGAGGCTGCATTTCCAGCAGTCCTCCAGCCTGCAGGATGCTGCCCCTCCCAGAGACACCTCGTGTGTGTCTCTGCACTGAGAACTGAAGATATAGGGGAGCACAGGAGTTATGACTGACCTGGCTGCTCCTGCAGAAACTCTAGCAAGGAATTCCT